GTGTGTGTGTGTGTGTGTGTGTGTGTGTGTTGTCGCGCCTCCACAGCTGGTCAAACTGTGATCTTGATAAAGTGTGTGTTCACACTTTCAGGTCGGTGAAGTTTGAAGCTCAGAGAGAAAATCAGATGAAAGAAAGTCAAAGTGGATGAAAGCTGTCAGGGTTGGTAACGAGTCACTGGGATGAATCAGGACTCAGATGTTGCTGACGTTGTTCTGTTGATGCTATTTTCTATTTACATTAGACTAAAGTGTATATATATAGCTGAATATTAACCAGATGTATTTATATATCTATAGTACACTGTAAAAAATGATCAGCTTCTAACTGATCTCTTAATCATTTACTTTGATTTCAGACTTTCCTGTTTTGTTGATTTACAGAAAAAAAAAAATTTAAAAAAGAGGGGAAAACAGAAAGAAAGGTGTTCTTTTCAGCGTGTGACATTAAAATGACACCGTTTTATTCTATTTAAATCAGCTATAAATGATTGAGCAGATGTTAGCGTGTTTGGACCTGCAGCGCCACTATTTACTGCTTTTTAGTGTCACTACTGTAATTTACCGAAACACTTAATTACTGTTTGACTGACTACAGAATAGGAATAATAATTTACTGTTCAACGCCGTAACGAGACTCTGCAATAGTATTTATGTCCGTATTTCAACGTTATTAAAACGTTCCAGCTGTGAGTTGTAAATTAAAAAACAACTTAATATTTATGATCCAGATCTGAGAAGTCTGTTTGACAGTTAAAAAGCACAGAGCAGTAAAACAACAATAAGATAAGACAATGAGGGATTACAGTTTAAAAACCAGTCGTCTAAGTTCATGTTGAAAAAGGAACGAAGCTGCTCGACTCAGCAGTGCTTCATGAAAATCGTTTTCTTTTCTGTCTTCGTTACGGATTTTGGCTCCAAAAATCTTCAGGTTTTACTGTTTTTAACAATTAGAATCTCTTTTTATTTCTATTCATACTCGTCAGTCATCACTGTGACCAGGTCCAGTGATCACATCCTGAGTCCCAGTCAGCAGGCGGAACCAGTTCTGACTCCAGGATGTGGCTGCAGACCGGGACGTCCTGCCCACTGACTCCATCGACCAGCTGGTGGACAGAACGCCACCATGTCCGAACACACTGATCCGTGTCAGGGCTCAGACTCAGTATCAGCCACTGAGAGACCTTTAGAGTGATACTGGACCTGCTGATGCATGAAATCTTCTCAGATGTGTTTCCTGTTAAATGACCGAGGTAGAAAAACTGAAGCCAAACCCTTCATCCTGTTGGACCTCCAGTTTAGTTTAAGCCTGAACACACAGTTCGTTAAAGTTCGTTGTGATTTAATTTCCACTGTGACGTGTGTGTTGTATGTATATCGTGATATCAATAAAGTTTTAGAAGGTATAAACTTTATCTATCAAGAATAAATCGCATCATCACAATCATTTCAGTCATCTGAACCCACATGTGATTTAAAGCTAAACTCAGATCAAAGTTCAACGTCTTCAGCAGTTCACGGATCCTCCCCGACCTGCTGAGCACGACTCGGTCCAGTCAATCTGCCGGCTGACGAGCTCGTGGTGATGTCATTAAGCCTCAGGACCTGAAGCGAAGCCACAAGCTCTCAGATGGTGACTCACCTGAGAGTTCACCTGCAGACACACCTGGACCACGAGTCAGCGTCTGAGGCGTACGAAGCTGCGTTCCTGTCGGCCCTCAGGCGGCTGAGTCATGTGACCTGCTTCTGTCAGGAGACTCCGAACCACCGAGTGTGTTTGATCCGGTATCTCAGCCGACTGGTTCCACTGGCTGTCCTTCAGAACTTCAACAGTTCACCTCTCAGGATGTGTTTCAGTGCTGACTGCTGCTGAGCCTTCAGTCGGGTCAGAACAGAGTTCACTCACTCACGCACTCCTTCACCCATCAGGTCTGTTTCCGGCCATCTTTAATCTGGCCAGTAACGCAGTGATCAGCACCAATGCCACCTGTGGATACCCAAAATCAGAGGATTACTGCAAACTGGTGGAACATGTTCCAGGAAGAACCCGCAACAACTCGCACTGCCTCAAGTGTGACGCCAACTCTTCCCTGTCAACAGGTACATGACCATGACCAGAACCAGAACCAGAGCCACAGAGAGCTCCACAGCAAGAGGTAGTCGTAGTAACAGTACTTGTGTGTGTGTCCAGAACGTCATCCAATCACAAACGCCATCGATGGAACCAATCAGTGGTGGCAGAGTCCGAGCATCAAGAACGGACGACAGTTTCACTGGATCACCATCACACTGGATCTGAAACAGGTAACGCAACAGACACACAACAGACACACAACAGACACACAACAGACACAC